GAACTATCAAATGCCAGAGTTCAATAGCAATGTTATACCCTTTATGTACATTTTATACCTAGAAAACTTGCTTTTGCTTTTAGAGAAAAGAAAGATTTGAACTCCTGCATTGGCAAATAGGATTAGCTATCCACTGATGATGTAACTTGTTTTAAACCAGAATCTAAAAATTCACTGTGTGTGTAAGTCACTGGGGAGTGAACCCCAGGCCCTCATACCTGCTAAGCCAGCACTCTACTACCTCCCACACAAGAATTCAGTCTTGAAGTCACTAGTTCAGGTCTTTTTTTTTTTTAAAGGCAATTCATGAAGGAAATTAGCACTCAAGAACTAATAGATGAGAAAGATGGGGGCACCTAAGAAATCATCTTCCCAAATCAGTTTTACTGAGGGTGGAACTTTAGCAGAATCATTGTCTATTCTTCATCAGCTATGTCAGTATTGATGTACAAAAGATTGAAAGTTAGAAGCTAGAAAGACATCTAAGGGTCCTCTGTGCTCCTCAGCATGAAGAGCACATACTAGCCCTGCTGAGGTGTTCTTACAGAGAACCATGTCAAGATTGAGAAACAGTGCCTCTGATTTTTAACTGAGATCTGTGCAGCCAGTTGCTCCTTGTCCTTGTTAGGAGTGTTCCTCGTTCCACAGACTAATTTCTTCTTAAAAAGGGCTGCAACTGTGTCTGCACAAGATAATTGGTTTTCTCAAATGTAGGTCTCACATAAATGAGTAATGTCACAGTCAAAGGAAGACTAGCAGGTCATATTTTTTGCATTTTATGATCTATGAGCCATAACCCAGGAAGGAATTTCTGATTATTGTCAGGCATTTCCAAGAGAAGCAGGAGGGAAGTGGAAAGGCGGGCAGGAAGATGGAGAAACAGACTCTCCCTGCCTTTGCAGTAACCTCGGTGTGATGACAAGATGAGACCTGGGCAGGAGCAGGGAGAACAAGAAATGTTTGGATTTAAGATATATTTTGGAGATAGCACCAACTGTGTTCACTGACAGTGGGGGGCACGGGGAGGCATGAAGGATGACAGAAAGGTCTTGGTTTGAGCAACTGGCAGCATGGTGTTGCCCTCAACCAAGATTTAGATTTTTCACATGCCAACTACTCTTATTTTCAAATTTCCCTATTTTTCTTCAGATGCTTGGATGTCAAAGAAACTCACAAGGACAGACACTAAACCTGTTTGATTACCAGCAGTAGCCTCTGCCATCAAGTTTAAGAGTTCTGTCAGTAAACTAACTTTGACTTAATATATAACAAATTTAAAAGAGACCCAAATTAGCATTTTTGAAGCAGTTTATTGTTGAGAAGAGAATAAATAACAAGTAGAAATACCGGGTGCAGTTTTTACCTTTAGCAGAATCATGATGCATTCTAGATTAAACTCTGCATCCCTTGTGTCAGGCAGATGTATGAAAGACTGAAAGCCAAAAGGTGGGGTGGACATCTGCAGGCCTTCATGTTCCTGAGAGGAGCATACACCTAATATGTTCAGTGTAAGGTTGAATATACGTTTTGTAAAAGCATTGTTGAGTTAAGAAAGATTGAGTGTATGTGTTTAAGGTCCAAAAAAAAATTGGGGAAACTAGTTCATTTTCTTCTGAGTAAAGTGACTTGAATGTTCGTCAGTCCTTAACGAAAAAAAGAAACACTTAGATACTCAAGTTACTGGTTAGAAAAACGACTTGCAATAACATTCTTAACTTCAAGTGATGCCTAGCATGCACAGGTTCCAGTCACTGGCACACCGTGCGCAGCTGACCTGGCAGGGCTCTGTCCAGGAGGGGTCACGCAGGTGTGCAGGGAGCCTAGCCAGCTGCGTGGGCTTCTGCATCTCAGCATTCACTCGTGGCTTCACTCATATGCTGCAATTCTCTGCAAGTTAAAACTTTGTGATTCTCATTTGTGAAATGAGAATCTTAAAAGAAAGTCAGTGGTCAATGCCTCACTGAAAGGAATCGCTTCTCAGTGACTTCTCCTGCATTCAGTGGGGAAGATAATGAAATGAGGGCGCATGGAGATTCTTGAGGAGCCAAATACTTCTAATGACTGCATTCTTTTGATGAAGTGGCCTTGGGCATCAGGCTTCCTTTGTGTGTGCACATTTTCCATGTGACCAGCTGCAGTAGGGCATCCATGTCGATCACCCACACTAACCAGTCTGACCTTCACCCCAGGGGCAACAGCATGTACATCAAAGAGGCATGTGTAGCCCAGGATGGCCTGGGATGTGAACACATGGACTCACTAACAGCCAGAGGCAAGCCCAGACTGCACCTGTAAACACACCAGTGGCCTTGGCCCCGTAAGGCTGACGATAAACGGCAAACTCAGAGTTGGTGCCTGTTCTCTTCCACTCTGATGATAGATCCACCAGAAGCTCTTTAGCAGACTCTGGGTTCAGGGGGGCTGTAGTGATGGCTCATCTGGCCAGCTGTACAGTAGCTCTGAGACCTGGAGCTGGGCTAGATGGAAAGTGCACTCTCTGTTTGGCCTCACAGGAAAGAGCAAGTAGGAAAGTAAAGGCTTAAGAACAAAAATGGCAAACAAGTCTTCAGGAAGGATAGATTATATTTGCCTATTGTCTAGTTCAGCATGTTGTAATGAGTGGCAGAGAGAATACTAATATTTTACTTGACAGAATGGTGGTATGTTGCAGATGTGTTGGAATAAGGTGTTTGAACTTGAGTTTTGTAGCTTTATTCAAGTCCTAACATTACATTATAAGGTAGCATAGTTGTACTCTTACGGATTCATTAATTATACCTAGACATAATTAGTTGCTAGCTAAGAATAGCAGATAAAATGGAAAATCATTCTGGAAAATCATTCTGGGAAAAAAAAAAAGAGCTGAGATTTTCTGAGAAACAAAGGAACATTAACAGAGGGCATCTTCTGACTCTGGCAGAGCACACAAAAGTGAAGCAGCCCCTGTTGTCATGGATGGCACCACATGTTCACTACAGCCAGTCACTTAGGAGTGTGTCCTCTTAACCTCTGGTTTTATTTCCATTTCATATTTTATAATACCCTAAAGACAGAAATAATTGGAAACATCCTGCAGGATTCATAATATAACTATTTCAGTGCTTGGAAATAGGTCTGCTCATTTTTAATTAATGGACTCTATATTTTAGAGCAGTCATAAGTTACCAGAAAAAGTGACCAGAAAGCATGGAGAATTCCCATATCTCTCTTCTCCCCACCCTAGCCTCACACACAGCTCCTCCGTCTTGCATTAGAGGATGCTTTTGGTTCAGGTGATGAACCAATATCGATCGATACATGAGTGTTGATGCCCATCATTATCTCCAGGCCACTCTTCATGTTGTACAGTCTATAGATGTTGACACGTACACCAGATCATGTGTCCCCCACTACAGTGTTGTTTGACTCTCCTAAGAATGCCCTTTGCTCCACCTGTTCTCTCCTTCCTTACATATACCCTGAATCCTTGGCATCCACTGTTCTTTTTATTGTCTATACTTTTCTCATCTTACTTATTTTTAAGTAAGTACCTAGCTATTCCTAAGGAAACACCAATCATCTTTTATTCACAAAGTGGATCCTCAGTTAGTGCCAGGTAGTATATGCATTGGAATTTATAGCAGAGGATCAAAAGTCTCAATCTAGAGCTGGGTGTGGTGGTACATGCGTGTGATCCCAGCATTCAGTAGGCTGAATCAGAAACTCATGCGTTTGAGGCCAGCTTTGGCTACCTAATGAGACTCTGTCTCAAAAAAAAAAAGAAAAGAAAATCCCAATCTCTGTGAATCTTACATTCTAGTGCATCCAACCGCCAGGCTCAATTAGGTCCTAAATTAGGAGATGGGTCTGTGAGAACCCAGAGAGAGAGGAGGTGGTTAGAGAAAATAACCTGAGAATAGGGTTTCCTACTAGCTAGCCTCAGGTCAGACCCCATCTTCCCATTTTTCTTCTGCCGTCTGGCCCAGAAATTGGGTCTGCTGGCCTCCTTCAGCTCCACCTGTGTTTCTCCTGGAAAACCAGCTTGAGCATAAGGCCACTCTTCCCCTCTCCTGATATCTCTGAGATAAGTCTGTGCACCACTTTCAGACTTATGTTATGCTTTTACTACTAGTCATATATAGCCTGCCTGGTCCAATAAAATATGATAAAAGTTTATAACATTATAAGAAACAGGTACCCATGTGTACCATCTGAAGACTAACTGGACAACCCTGCTTTGGAAAAGGACAATTCCCAGTTCTTTCACCTCCAAATCCTTTCCACACAGGCCAGTAGACATCCATTCCTCTAACTTGCCATAAGAAGCCCAGTTCTTTTCCCCTGCCCCTTCTCCCCAGCCCTCTAGAAAGATAAGAGGTTCCATTGTATAAGAACAGGCCAGGGCAAGATCCATTCTGTCCTCACATGCTCTGCCTTGCTGGTTCCTTTGTGTTTCATAAAAAAAAAAAAACACTAAAAAACATTAACTAAATGTTAACTCTCCAGCAGTCAGGTAAGAGCCAGTGGTGCACATCTACCAACTACAAACCCAAGAGTCCAAAATTGGCCATGGTAAGAGTATTCACACCATGGAAATCAGAAAACACTACCAGTAACAGTTTGACTATGTTTTCCTTCCCAAAGAGCCACCTTACCAGCCCACCACTGAGCAGAATTTCATTAATCAAATTCTACCCTGATTCCACCATAGGAATTCAGTCCATGAATAATGCTAAATTAATTTTATGCTCAAATTCTACTCAATAATTTCAGGGATGAATGCCAACCAAAGTCAAACAGTAAGTTTTGTCAACCACACATAGGATCAGTTTTCACAGACCTCGCTCAGACATTTCATTTCCCTTGAAAGAATGATTGAGATGACTCACGGTTTAAAGTTGTTGTTCCAGGTGTCATCCATGATCATAATTAATACTTCTTTTCTCAGATCCAGATTTGCTTGTCCATGTGTAATTAATAAGGTGCCACCTTTGCTGACTGGCCCTTTTGTGCCCATATAGGACTGCACACGCCAGAGCAAAAGCTGACGCCGCCGACCAGGCCGCGCTGGCCGCCCGCCAGGAATGTGACATCGCAAGAGCTGTGGCCAAGGAGCTATCACCTGATTTCTACCAACCAGGTAAAACAGTTCTTTGGTGGGAGAAGTTGGAGCACTGGCTTAAGTTTTCTTTTTCTTTTCATTTAAAAAGTCTGTTTCATGAATCACAGCAATATCATGAAATAAGTGGGAGAATACAGTAATACTCCCTGAAGTCTGAGCATCAGCACTGGGAGTTGGAGTTAGGCTCCAGGGTGCCTCCCCTCCTGTGTTACCCTCCTTCCCCCTCACCTACCGCCTCCAGCCCTCCAACCCTCCCTACCCCCAACCACCTGATCAGCAAACTTTGAGCCAAGAGCTCTAAACAAGTATCTGATTCCTAAAAATTGTGTCTAGTGACAATTGCAGATTCTGTGACAGCTCCAAATTCTGAGGCACTCCAAGTCAGCAACAAGAGAAGAACCAGAAAGTATTGTGGGTTTTTTTTAATGTATCTGAACATTTTAATGTTCAGGTAGTTGAGATATAACTCAGTAAACCACTTGTAGAGAGGTTAATCTGCACAAATTAAGAAAATGTATGTCACCAAGGGAGAATGAAAGTGACAACCTCAAAAAAAATCGGTATTGATCATCTGTCCCTAAAATGTTAGTAGAAAGCAACAAATGTTTATAGTAAGTTTAAGAATTTAACTCACTTCCTAGTAATTTCCACCCCTTTCTATAATGGTAGATTTAGTCTATTTGTTTGTTTGTTTGTTTTTTTCCAAAACAGCCACTGTCACCTTTTTACATATGTTTCTCCATTGTTTTGTAAACATCTTTATAGTGATTGCTTTCAGAGATCAACAGATTTCTAGGTGAAGAGACCAAAATGGATGTTCAAGTTTCTATTAAAATTTCTGTTTTCTTGGTAAAGAATTTCCCTATGTTGGCTTTTATTACGTCGGTCAACCTGCATAACTAACTCCCTGTCGCTAACCCAGCACCCTACACAGTGTTAGTGCTCAGTATGTATTTAGGTCCAGGTAAGACAAAGTGAACAGAATGGGAAAAGCCACTGAAAATCTAGAAATTTCGCTGTAAGAAAGGGAGGAATGGGAAAAAATGACCTACAGATTTTGAGGGTTTGAGGGTCGGCTGTTGCTTCTTTTAAAGTAAATAGTAAAGGGTGACATTAAGAAAACTCAGCATCTGTACCAGAAAAGCTGAAGAGAGGCCCCGTTGCATTGCTCAGACATAGGTGCCTTGTTGAAGTCACAGAGGACTTCTCCAAGAGTTCGAGGTCAAGGGAAGCAATGAACAATGTATTTTCTTTCATGTGCATCTGTTTTAAGTCTTTGAGTAGGATTTAAGTCATTTAATGTACCTGTGTACATTAAAAGGGACTCTGCATTTTTTTCAGTGACTTCTGATAGAAATTTTCTGGTGTGAAATTAACTCACACTTTCCTGGTGTCTAAGAACCTTGGTGAATTAGCCCTTCCAGGGTGTGAGAACTACAGAAAGAGTCCAACAAGCCAGAGGGTTGTCCTGTGCTCCCTAGTGGCCTACTGATGGGAGAAACTGGACAGTCAGGAGACAGTGGGCTTAAGCTGCCTCGCAAGCAAACAAACTTAGTATTGTTGTCTGCAGATGGTAATTCTTGGTTCTGTTGTTAATTGTGCTGGGGACAGGGTCCCTCTAGACTTCTATTAGGTATTATTAAGAGGTAAATGATACAGAAGGTCATCTCACTTTCCCAGACTGAATGATTTTAAAGGCCTTTTAGGCTGTGAAAGCATTTGAGGGTAAGAAATATTGTGGGAAAATGTAATTGCACCCTTTCTTAGCTAAAACAGCTTCATGCAAGCACGTCGTCCCAGCAGTAATGAATACATCCCAGTAGCGTGAGATGACAGAAGGCCACAGTCCCCTCTAGCACTCTCTTCAGCAGCAGCTGGATAGAATATTTCCGGACTGAATGTTATGGCTCCTCTCAGAGGACTCTGCCTTTATAGGGTGATCACATCAGAGACACGTTTGTTAAAAGGGCTCTCCAGTACTTCGACGCCAGCCTGCTCACTTAATTTACATATCTCAGTTATAAATGTCGCCGTTGTTCAAAACACATGTGCCTGAACCCCGGGGAAGAGGGTGTCTCTCAGCTTGCATTTTGAACACTTTTCGAGATAAATTACCTATTTTCAGAAATTGGCAATATTTTCAAACATTTATCATCTTATGCCTTTACTTTAAAAATGTATTCTACATTTCAGTTACAAATGCAGCAAAAAATCTAGCCACATGGGCTAGGTTAGTAATAAAAAGCATACAAATGGGCAGGTGGAAATGTGTGTGTAGGAAGCAGTGTACACAGAGAGAACAGCAACTGCAGTGCGTGTGAGTGAGCAGTTAGGCGCCCCTAAGAACTTTGCCTTCTGAGGGTTAAACTGACTGACTGCTCAGAGGTTGGTCCAGTGATCCTCGCTTACAGCATAGCTTTAAGGACTGCAGGAGCTCCTTGGAACACAACTGGATATATGAAAACCTCTAAAGAAAGAATCGGTCACCCTAGGAAATATAGAAGAAAAGTGAGTCACAGAGGCAGACATTGGCAGTGTCCATACAAACCCTGTCCAGAGGAGGATAAGCCTGAGCCAAAACCTCAGAGTATTGCGGTGGCATTGGCAAGGACATTTCTATTATGGGGCAGGATGCAGGGAACTGTGGCCAGCAGTGGATGGCTCTATTGGCAAGATCCTCCTGACTGAGGAAATGGACACATCAGGCTAGCTCAGCCTGATGCTATTACATAGCTGATTCGTCTCACGCAACTTGTCCTGATTCCAAGTTCACCAGTAACTCTTGGAGGTTGCCAACAGGAAAAGCATATACTGATGTATCAGTGCAAGTCCTGTGGCCTGGCTGACATTTACATTGCTCCTGCAAGCTAATGAATTGGCCTTCCAGTAATATGCATCAACCTTGTGTGCTTTGGTAATGTGTCTGCCCCCAAACTGTACTTCAGAGTGCAGATAAAATCTCATTCCTAAACCGGGAAGACCAAGAAAAAGCTTTTGAGAAGTACAGAGAGAATGGGCCAATAGGGAAGTTATATGCATGGCTCTTTGTCCCACTGTTTCAATTTAATTTCCATCAAGATTCTTATTTGGTTTTTAATTTTGAGTAATATTAAGTAGGTCTGTGCATAGGTTAAAGAAATTGAAGCACTGACTTTGAGCCCTTATAGGAGAAGTCTGCCCATTTCCCTAGACAGCATCCTCAACAAGTGTTACCTTCCCATGTTGAAGCATGGGGGTGCTTACATCCAGAGTGTTGTTTTTTTAAGGTGAAAGTGAAGAGTAAAGGCTTTGCTTATATTAAGTGTTAACTAAGCTTGCATTTCTGGTGTAAATTAGAAGTCTTTAGAAATCCAAGCATATCTTCATTACATAAATGCCTATGTCTATCAATCATATGTACTATTTCTGGCAAGTAGAAGGAAGCATCCAGGAATAGATGACTTGCAAGGTCACCTCCCAAATCTAAAATCCTGAGTATACTCTTTCATGAAAAAGTGAAACTGAACAATCCACTAGTAGACATGAAATTGGTGATTCACGAGTTTGCTGTATTCTTACCATTGACTCCCATTACTCAGTTTCACAAATGTGTATCAGTTGCCAACCAAATACAGGGCATCTAGTGGATGTCCCATGGCTCGTGTTGAGTACCTGTGGTTGTGGTCATGTATGTTGGAGTATTGTTACAGGTGGACCATAAGGTCCTATAGGAAGTAGTCCTTCTGCTAGTTGTCTTTTCAGAATCTTTCAGTCTGGTCCTCTTTCACTGATTTGCAGTCTCCAGAGAAAATGTTTTCTACGTAAGGATTCCTGCTGCCACTATACAGCATCTGATATGGTCACTGCCCTGGTAGACATTTGTTTGGGGGAATCTTCATGGATCTCCTCTGCCAAAGCTGGCCCACTGAGGCTCACCTCTGAAGTTCAAACTGGATTCTCTGCTACTACCATCTGCCATTGTCTGTTCAGAGGCTTTATGCCAACCATGACTACTTAACCTTTCAGTGTCGGTGGATGGTGCTGTCATTTCATATCAAATGGCGTGTCATCAAACAGGTGACTTGCATCTGACTTCTTCGCAACGTGAATCCCCTGGGGGGAAATTCCCTTAGGATTCATAGATATGATCTAGAAAAACATGAGTGCCAGTGAAAATGCTGACTGCAACAACTCTAACTTGTCCTAGTTCCCCTCCCTGACAGGGTTCTGGCTGGTCCTGCATCCATCAGCTTTATGTGGCTGGCATTGCATAGCTAACACACATTCTACACAGAACAAGGAGCAGGCACAGAATGTGCCTTCCAAGAGAAAACAGGAGAAACTTCTTTCCTCTGCATTGCATTAAATGTCTTGTTTAAAATGCATTTAATCCTACTCTGGAAAGACCAGATGTATAGTCGTATATGTCCAGTTCAAACCACTTCCAACTGGATGTAATAATCACTGGGCGTTAGGTCCACATCTAGCCAACACACATAAATTTTGCATGCTTTGAAGCGCCTGTAGTTGAGTGTGTTCCAGGTGTGGAATGTTTCTTAATCGTTCACATTCTAGACTTTGATTTCTAATCTATTAAATCAGAATCGCTGGCATAGCACCCCAGGTGCTTCCGACACTTACTTCCAACAAGTATGCCCAGGAACCAGTTTATTTCCTTAGCCAGCCATTTTCCAATGATAATAAAGCTAGGCATTTTTTAATCTGAACATTGGTACCAAAATGTACTTACACCATTCTAGTAGTTTCTTTGAGCTCAACAGATTTTGAGTAACATCAGAAGCTCTGTTGATGAACGTAGGTGAATATACCTGAAAAAAGTAGAAAGATAACCATAAGTAATCATGCAAGACATACCTTTCCTAATACCTTTGGGACAAGAAAACTGTCCAAAGAAGCAACACATCAGACTTGGAAAGGCTAAAGTGATTAGACTGGTACTTGAGAGTTAAACAATAACTGCACCCAATGAAGTCTAAAATTTAGCTCATAAATCCATTAATTTGTAATCCTCCATTGGCCTAATGATTCTCAGGTTGGTCTGTTGCAAGGAGTGTAGTGGACATGAAGAGGTAGGGAGAATTCTCTTAACTGTTTATAAAAAGCAGCTGAAAATGTGTTTTGTATTCATGTATTATCAGTTTTCCCTTTTTTTTCAAATAACCAAAGCATATCCCTTTGATTGCTATCTTTAAATTTTTCTTAAGTTTTCTTGACCCAATATTTCTGAATCCCCTAAGTTTCCCCCAATAAGTAGTCCCTTGCAGCTGTCACTTTGTTGGGATCTGTGAGCACAGCTTCATTTCTGCCTCTGATTCGCTTCCTCAGTAGGTGCAGGTAGACTGAAGGCCACTGGGTAAATCCTAAATTTGTGCGCTGCACTTTCATGGTCTTGCATGATCAAAGTGGAACACATGAGCTTTTTGACAGCTTTGTTTCTCAAAGTTCAGTGGCTCCTTACCTTTTCCTTCCAGCTTTAAAAATGTGTCACTAATGTTTGCCAGCACCTATTATTTTTCCACTTTTTTCTCTCTGTATATTTTTTAAGTCAAACATTAGGTTTTTATGTGTCTTGATTTTAAGATAGAAAGATACCGGCAGTTTTTTTGGGAAAATAACTTTTATACCTATCTGTTAGACTGAAGACATTTCAAATACCTAGTTGGTTCGGTGTTCTGTGGCTTAAATTAAAACTCCATTGGCTCTAAGAGTCCGTTTTTAACAATATGTTCCGTACTTTGCGTGGTACGTTCACCACCACACATAGATGGGTCTGTTCAGTACTGCTGTAAAACCGAAGGACAGTGATGCCAAGTAAAATCAACTGTGATGACATTTTGAATGCAAGGGTGAGGGAGAAGTATGTAAACAACAGGCTAAGAGAATATACTTTATCACAGAAGAAGAGGGGATTGTAAAAATAAATCTTCAGTGCTAATTATGACAAGGCACTTCTGGGAAGGACCAGAGCAAGGACATGTAGCCCAGCACTGGGGGTGCAGCTTAGGGAGAGTGCATGCTTGACACACACAAGGCCCTGGCATCAATTCCCAGCACCAAAAGCAAATGAATGTCAAACCTGGGGGAGGCTGCTGATGGAGACAATCCCTCCTGTGCCCATAGTGCTTCCTTTTTCCACACAGGGCCAAGGAAGGATCAGAGAGAAAGATGGCACCTTTCACATGATTTTACATGGCACCTTTTCTTCATTCAGTGAGCTGCCTCTTGCTGGACCAGGGATGCATACTACCTTTTTTGTCACAGAAGTTAAAAGAAACTGCCAATCTAAAAAAGGAGGCACCTAACCGAGTTTAGGAAGGAAATACCCATTGTTGCCAATTGATCTTGATGGATTTGGGAAACTTGAATTCCAAAGAGTTGGATCCACCTTCTGGAGGATGGACATTTGCTAATACTGTTGTACAACCTGTGCCTATATGTCCCCAGGAAATCTCATTTCTAGCTTTAAAATATTACATTATATGTTTCTTGTGTTTATCTTGAAGCATCCCAGAGCTGCTGTTGCTATTTCCATATCAGTAAAATGGGAGTAAAAACACCTACTTCCTACAATTTTGTGAGGCTTTAAATTTCAGGAAGTGCCTGGTATAATAAACAGCAACCTCACTCTAATAACTTATAACTCAGATCACCATGGGAATAACAACTACAAGTGTAAATGTGCAACGTGTTGTGTTGTGTTTTGTTTTTTGGTGGTATTGTAGTTATAACTCAGGGCCTCGCACTTGTTAGGCAAACACTCTACCCCTTGAGCCATGTCCCCATTCCTTTTTTATTTTAGTTGTTTTTCAGATAGGATCTTGAGTTTTTGCCCAGGCTGGCCTGGACTTCAGTCCTCCTACCTATGCCTCTCATATAGCTGGGATTACAGGCAGGTACCACCATACTCAGCTTGTTTGTTGAGACAGAGGTCTCTCTAACTTTTTACATGATCTGGACTCCAACCACTATCCCCACAAACTCCTCCTCCCAAGCACCACCATGCCTAAGCCTTGCAGCATATTTTTTTTAACAATTAAGAATAATTGTTAAAGCTTTAGTTGGTTTGGAGTGAGGGGTGGATTTGGAAGCAGGAAGTAAGATGAACAAGACTCAGTGCTGTGGAATTGACAAGAGCTGGTCAGCTCTAGCAAGCTGGTAGGGATGGTTTCTCCCTTGTATACTTGAGAGATGGTGTGTCACCTCCTGCTGTTTACAAGAAGAGGCCAGCTGTGCTGTCTGTGACCTTGACTTCACTTCATGATGAAGAGAAGTGGTAGCCAGAGTGTGCGCATGACTTGATTATGGAGAGGCTGAGGCTGACTCCCTAGAGGAGGAAGCTGCCTTGGAGAGCTGTCTCAGGGCCCCACTCTGGCATATGTCTGACGGCTGGCAACCTTAGCTCTGGGCCTGACTATCTTGCCACACACACTCTTGTTTCTTTACAAGCTTATTCCCCATAAAATAACAATGCAGCAGGCTCACTCTTTAAAAAAAAAAAAGTTTTTTCCTATTTATAAAAAGTAGTAAGATTATACAAACAATCCTGAAGTATATTTTAAAAGATTAAAATTCTAAGACTACAGAGCCAAAGACAACTGCCTTATCTTGAACACTGCTGATACAAATGTTTGTCATAACTGTAAAGAGAATACATGGAGGTGATTTTGTGTAGTACAGCCTGAACTACAGTTGTTCCTAACTAGAAAATTTTAAAAACATTACAGAAATGTTATCTGCAGGGTTTCCTCATGCACTATAGATACTCTATTAAACTTTCAAACCCAGACAGGAGACAGTTTATTTCTTTACACAAGGGTATACTTTCTGTGTCTTAATTATACTATATATTTGAATAAACCGATTAATTATGTCATCTCTCTGCCAGCTCACCTTCATGTTCTGCAAAAATTCAAGAACGATATAATTATTAGGGAAGTCAGAATTGTTTAACACTTATGACTGTTCAAAACTGTAAATAGTGGTATGTGTTATCTTAAAAACACCCTTCCAGTAATAATCTCTTTCCCTAGAGAATGAAATGCGCTCATGCTTAGTCAGAGCCTTGTAAATTTTTTTTAATGTTAATCTCATTTAGCAAAAGAAAAAAGACAACATACAAGCCTTTGCACCTTATTTTTATCACTTCCTTTTTCTTTTTTCTTTTTTTTTTTTCAGGCCCCGATTACATCAAACAGAGATTTCAGGAAGGCATGGATGCTAAAGAAAATCCTGAAGAAAAGGTACCAGAAAAGCCACCGACACCAAAGGAATCACCTCATTTCTATCGCAAAGGCACGACACCCCCCAGATCTCCCGAGGCAAGCCCCAAAGAGAGCCACTCTCCCCAGCCTCCCTCGCCAAAGCCCCCGAAGAAGCAAAACCCCAGCTCAGGGGTAAGACTCAGTCAAGATAAAAGGAGTGTGGCTGATGAGCAGGTGACAGCCATTGTCAATAAGCCCCTGATGTCAAAGGCTCCCTCAAAGGAGGCAGGAGCAATCATGTCCAAGTACTCTGGCCGCCACCATGTCCCCAACCCCAGTAACGGAGAGCTGCATTCTCAGTATCACGGCTACTATGTGAAGCTGAATGCCCCCCAACACCGTCCAGAAGCCGTGGAGGAGGAGGATGGATCGAGCCAGTCTCCCTCAGCTCTGGCACACAGGCCATCACCCAACAAGTGGAGTCCTCCTAAATCTGTGACAAAACCAGTTGCCAAAGAAAGCAAAGCTGAGCCAAAAGCAAAGAAGTCTGAACTTGCTATACCAAAGAATCCAGCAAGCAATGATTCGTGCCCTTCTTTGGAAAAAGAAGCCAATTCAGTAAGTCTTGCCCCAAGTGTTTTCTCTTTGTGTCTTCCCTTCGGCTTGTTCAGGGAGCAGCGTGGGCTGACTTACTCAACAACAGCTGGGCTAGCGCAGGTCCTTGGATCCCAGAGTTGTTTAGAGTAGAGCATACATATTTGTAGCTTGAGCCAGCAAAGAGCTCTCTAGGCCGGAATTCCTGAGTGCACTCAGCTTCCCCCTTTAGACATAATTCAGGTAGGTAAGGCCTGGCCAGCCTAGGACAGCCTCATTCCAGCACCATGAGCACTTTGAGCTTCCTGGTAGCTTGGTCGAACCACTGCCCATGGCCAGCAAGCACTCCTCAGGGCTCTCACAAAGAGGCTTCTGGGCCCTCCTTTGACCACACCGGTAGCATCTTTACACAAAGGGAAATCTCTTTCAGCTGTTGTGAATTCTTCTCATAGATCGTTAGTTGGATTTTACATTTTTCTTCCCAAATGAGAAATTATTCAGCAGTTTAACTGCTTTAGTCTTTTCACTTCAGGATGTGAAAGCTCTCACCATTTCAGTTTTCTGGTACACAGTCATTAATGTTATTATCATTTGGCCAGAAAGTTCTGTGTTACTGATAAATGTCTACATGCTCCTTCACGTGAGATTTGTCTATTGAATAATAGATGAAATTACTGTTTTATCAAATTCTGTAGCATGTACATCCTCTGAAGATTTTTTAAAATCTGAATTATAAAAAATTGACCAACTGACCTAATGACCTGCTGACCTGGTCACATTTGTCTTTGGACGGGGGGGTTGAATATTAAATGTATCTTAGAGAATTCGCCATACCTTACCTGATACAGACAGTCATTTAGAGATGTGTACATAGTGGTACTGACTGGTGCCCTGACAAACAAGTTTATAGAACAGCTGTTTCTTACATTTGTTCAGTGTGCTCATAGGGTTAAACAATTGAAATTCATCTTTTGAATTAACTTATGCTTAAAATTTCTTACGTTTGTTTCTTTGTTAATATCTATAAACCACTATTTTTTTCTCAAATTCTCAAGTTTTTAATTAGCTAAATGTAAATTAGATTAACTGGAGTAATAACTTCCTGACAGTCACCCTCCACAGAGGTAACTGGCTTTCAGAGCACACCAGCATTAGAAGCCTGACCATTCAGTAAGCATTCATCTTAAATGTGCTCCCCATTGATGCCCCAGTTACCTGCTATCATAATGCTTTCCGCAGTGAAGTCCCTAAATGTGTGATAATGTCTTCTCTTTAGACACTCAGCATGTATGTCCTCGTAAGGCCTCAAGTGCACGTCAGCATCAATTTCCATGACTCACAAGGGGGAATCCAAACAACACAGGCCATCAAGTTATTACCTTGGTGTACCCAGCAGTGGGTTCAGTGGACTTCCAGAACTAGGGGGAGCATATGCCCCAGTATCCTGCTGATGAGTCTGTAATAGAGAAAAACAAGTAGGAAATTTTACTTAGCTCTTATCTGTACGAGTTTTTCTCTAAAATACAAGACCGGGCATGGTGGCACATACCTGGATTCAGCTACCCAGGAGGCAGGAGTACAATTGTGATCCAAGGCTGGGCCAGGCAAAAGCAGCAGATCCTGAGTTCAATCTCGAGTACTGAAGGGAAACAACAGCACTACAGGTACATTTGGTAAAGCCACAGACCCCTTATTTAGAAATGTCATCTGTTCTACTTACATGCAGAATCCTCTGGTTCTTGGAGTTGGCCAGGCACCCTCCATCTCTAGTGTTCCTCCTAGCACTCCAGGGAGAGACAGCCCTGTAGGCCAGTGGCTCAGCAGCTGTCCTGCACTCATGCTGCCTCTCTGTGTGATGATGTGACTGCGGGGAAGTTGGAATTGACTTGTGAAAATTTATCTTGCTAATGGTGACAGAAAGCTTCCTTTCACGCTCCTGAGGACCGTCTCTTCCCTGTACAGTAGGCAGTGGACAGTTGTAGGAAGTGTAGTCAGCGAATGAGCTTTGAGACAGTGGGGTAGTACTACAGTTCTGAGACAGAAAGGTGCTTTGCAAAGTAGCAGTGATAATTAACAATTGAAAATTCCTAGGAACTTTCCACTAACACAGGTATGTGGGAGCGGGACCTAGAATGAGTCAGTCAAGGGTCTTCATGGTCGGCCAAGAGATCTAGTTGGAGTCAGAATCTCTGCTTGTCGGTAGGTTGCGTGTCCAACTGAGCTGCCAGGTGCATGTGCCTGAGGCAGTACAGGTTACTAACTCAGAACAAGGGGCCTGGTGCAAAACTTCAGATCCCAGCCCTATTGCTTTCCAGATTTGTGATTGAGCAAGTGTCCTAACTGCTCTGTACCTTTGGTTTCTTCATCCGTCCCTACCTCATGGAGTTATGAAGATTGAATGAACTTTTTATAAAGTTCTTAGCACAGTGCCAAGCACAAAGTAGTACTCAAAAAGCATTGCCTAACGGGCGTGGTGGCTCACCCTATAATCCCAGCTACTTGGAAGGCTGAGATCAGGAGGATATTGGTTCTAGGCTAGCCCAGGCAAAAAAGTTCACTAGACCCCATCTCAACAGAAAAGGCTAGGTGTCGCAACACATGCCTGTCATCCCAGGTACTGGTGGAAAGTGTAGAATAGGGATCTGCTAAAAGAGAGACCGTATCTCAAAAATAGCCAGAGCAAAAAGGGCTCTAGACATTGGCTCAGTGGTAGAGCACCTGCCTAGCAAGCATGAAGCTCCAGTACAAACCCCAGTACTGCCAAAAAGAAAAAAAAAAAAAATCATTTCTTATTAATGTTTGTCTGTACTAGTTGAAGCATAGTTCAAAAGTACTCTGCTAGATGTGGTCCATCCTCAGATCACACTAGATGTTGATCCCTGAGAAACACAGACTAACAGCAGATTAACTGTCTGAGAGTGAGAGGTAGGAGAAGAGAGGCTACCACAGGGATTACTACTACACCAGCCTTAACAAACCTGTGACTCCTGTGACGCAGTGGTTGCGTGTGGACTCCCATCCCAGGGGCACACATTCTACATGATACTGGAATTTCATGTAGAAATCCCCCTCTTGTAGGAGCTAGAACTGTTCAAGCCTTATTAGTAAGTAGACAGAAAAGAGACCTCCAAGTAGGAATCTCCGACCATTCTGAAAATTGTCTGTACTTTGTTGTCTCACCCAGTACTATGATCAGCTTCCAAATTTGTTTTCATTTTGATTTTTTTTTCATACAGATCATGTCTCTGAACCTGTGCCCAGGCAGATGCTTTTTTTTCTTTTTTATCGTTTTTACATTTACTCACATGTGTATACATTGTTTGGCACCCCATCCTACCCCCCACTTCAGGCAGAACCTGTTCTTGCCCTCTTGTTCTCCAATTTTGTTAAAGAGATAATAAAAAGACATAGTGTTTTTGCTAGTTTGAGATAAAGATAATTATACAGAGAGATTCCTGTCGTTGCTTGCACACATTGGTATTTTTGTATTGCAACCCACATTGGTTCATCTCTACCAGACCTCTTCACTACTCGTTTTGAGATATATCCCATCTTTTTTTGAATTGGTTTAAATCTTAGAACATCTGTCACATCAAGTTTGAACCACACCAAGAAAAAAGTAAACACACATATTCAAACTTTGCTGTTAACACTAAGTTAAACTTTGCATGCATTAGAGAAATTAGATTAACATAAATAAAATAACCCCTAATAATTCCCCACAATTTAAAGCAAGAGATCGTCTCTTGATCTTGAAAAGAAAAGGAATAATTTCTTGAGTGAGTCTGTCCACATTTTGACCTCCTCGTTTTATTTTCCTAACTGCTGAAAGTTTCTTCTGATCTGGACTTACACTCTGCCCTGCTGCCACTCCTTCCATGACACCTGTCCCAGTCAGTCTGGAAAAGTAAGACTGAGCTTTTTTTCATTTTGCTATTTTAAGCTACAACTGGCGACCTCCATCATATTTATGGGACTTTACCTTAAAGCTTTTTACCCTGTAGCCTGCCTGGGTCTCTGAAGCACACACACAGTCATGACTTGGTCTTACCACTTAAACATAGCATCCCAGCTTTTTATTTTTCACCTGGTTAACTATTGGAGCCTCCTGTGGCTGGTTTACCCTTATCTTCCCTGAGTCATCTTTAAAAATAGCTTTATAAGTGGAGCTACGCTGGAAGGATAAATATGTGTACTGAAATATATGCAGGATAAATATGTGTGTGTTCAGTAGAAAATGCATATGTATTTCTCCTTCTGGAAAAAGTATTCATTCATTGTTCATTGATTCCAGATTATCACTCTAAGGAAAACTTGAAGAAAGAGAATAAGCTGCTAAATTCAACCAAAGCTATAAACTGAGAATACTAACCAGTTCTAAAGGGTTCACATAAATTCACGGGACCTTACCACAGTTTATGAGATGGGAATTAAAGACTCAGACCGCCTAAGTGTGTGTCTCCTTCCACCGGGGATGGAGCCCAGGCCTAGTGCCTGTTCCCCAGTTCTACATGAAGGAAGCTTTTGAAGTTGTCTTCCAAGGCACTGTGACCCTGCTTTTCTGGGGTCTACTTATGACACTGAATCCTACACTACATTACTGCTCTGGTTTACTTTTCCTCATCTGTCATATTACTAAGTTACCTTTTAGAATTACAGATGTAATGCACTGGCCCCAAAGAGTCGAAATGAACTTCACACACTCATGAACAAACTCTAATCAAAATATATGGCAGTAATAGCATTGCCTCACTGTCTGCACTGACGTGTGATGTTGAAAGGCCATCTCTGGTATTTTGAGTTACAAGAGTTTTCTGTATCTTGTCTGTGTCTTAACTTAGCCGTAATTGAGGAATTGCAAAAGCTTGTTCCTATTAATTTAGAACACATTCCTCTAAAAGAGCAGGTGGTTGATATCAAGATTTGATAGTATTTCTGCAATACTCTGTGAATTATAGGATATAGATGAAAGTGTCTTTAAGAACTTCATAGGAAATTGTTTTTAAACTAAGGCCTGGGGCTTTAGCAGGGATATAGATAAAAGAGCCTGGAGCTTCCAAGTGGACAGTCTAACGTTTGGCTCTGGCTCTAATTTGTAATTTGGCCTTAGCTTATAAATAGTTCTAAGTAATTCATAAATATTCGAATATATTTGAATATTTTTATTAGAATGCTTACCTTCTTAGAGCTCTGTTAAATTTACTAATCACATGTAAAGAATAAACAAAAAATAATCTACTTAGAAATGCCTAGCCAAGCCTGAGCACCATGGCTCATACCTGTAATTCCAGCTACTTGGGAGATAGAGATTGGGAGAATTGTGATTCAAACCCAGCCCAGGCAAAAAGACCCCCATCTCAACAAACAAGCTATAAGTGGTGGGACACATCTATCTATACAAAGGTAGGAAGCCAGCATGGGCAAAAAAACACAAGACCCTATCTGAAACATAACCTAAAAGCAAAAAGGTAGAATACCTGCCTGGCAAGTGCAAGGCCCTGAGTTCAAACCCTAGTACTGCCAAAAAAAATAGTCTTCTGCCTGCCATTATAAAAACCTACATTCTTCCCATTTACTCAGGGTTTGAGAAGTGGAAGTTTTCTTCCCAGTAGTTCCTCTCTCAAAGGGAGAGGGTTTTACTCCCTCCCCCCATTTTATTAATCACTCATTTGTTCTTTAATGAGGTAATTAAATCTGTTTTGTTCAACAGCCACACCCAGAGCATCTGGAAAAGTGCTGGAAGGCAGGAGGTTCTCATTACATGCAGGCTGCCTGAATGAATTGGGCACCTTACAGGTCAGGCAAGGCTATGCAGTGGGAGAACAACCAGACCCCAGCTCCACTGCAGCTCAGAATTTAGGTGGGGGGATGGCAATACAACAACAAATGATTATGAAATGTGAAGAGTGAATGTCAGAGAAAGGGCAGGGCACCCTGACCTATACCAGGGACGTGTGGCTTAGGCCAGGAGGAGACGTCCTCAGTAAATGACGGGTGACCCATACTCAGACCTAAGAGCTAGCATTTGACCAATGGCAGGTCCAGTCTTCTTGCTTCTTACCCTGACACCAAAACAGGTACATGTGAGGCCTCTAGAACATTGTTCTGATATAGGCGTATTTGATAACCACACATAGCATAACTGTCTCTTCATCTGTAAAATAAGAACAAAGTTAGGCAGCCAGTTGGGAACGCTTCTAATGCCATTTAAGAATTAGACAGTTTTCATAGTAAATGCCTGGCTTTCTAACAAAGGTGGCCTCTCCTCAAGCCAGATCTGAACAGATGGACCATATGAGCCGAGTCTGGGGACTTTCAACTACCTGGTACTTGTAGTGATATTTATCAAAAAGAATTCTGCAGTTTGTTAAATAGAACTTGATTTCTGAAATGGTATAGTTTAGAGAAATGAAAAGGTAAACCTGTAAGTAGAGCTTCTGAAAGAATTCATCTTCTCACTTGCACTTCTATGTGAAGGATCCAAAAAGTTGGAGACGAAGAGCAAGAGGAACCTCAATTTGAGTTTTCCAGAGTTTTTCCTTGGAGGCTTCATTGTCAGGTTTTACTCTCATTTCTGACTGCTTTGATGCAGATACCTCTCTTGCTCCTCTGAATTGCCTAACAAACACCTGTCTGACTACCACCAGCTCCTAGCCCCCTGTGGTGACCTGTGTCAACCCAGGCTGTCATCCATTGGGAGGTAAAAGGAAGGGGTTATTACTGAAAACATCTTTAACCTAATTCAGGACTAGATTCGCTTTAAGTGAAAGTTCAGCAATGGTTCCATCTAAACATAGCATTGCTATTTTTAGTTTCTACCTTTTGGAGCTGCTGTCATCATTCGTGCCTTGGTTACTGCAGCCATGTTTGGGTTCTTGTGTTTTCAGTAATTAGTTCTGACAATATATTTTGGTGTAACATATTTTGGAAATGTTATGCTTGTTTTGTTCTGTCTCCCTTCCAGGGCCCTAATTCAGTCATGATTGTCCTTGTCATGCTGTTGAACATCGGGTTGGCCATTCTTTTTGTTCACTTTCTAACTTGATTGGAATAGGACAGGTAAGAATAGCCTTAATTTCTATACAAAATTTCAATAAGTACCACTCTTTGCTCATTCAAATTTGCATTTTTTTAACAATGACATATTGTCCTTCACTTTAATTTTGGCTGTGCCTGACTGTGATTCAACGGAGTTACTTAATGCTATAACTGTTTTGACCTTCAGTGAAGTCATGATAACTAGTGGTGTTAGCCCACAGTTCTGCCATGGTGTCCTCAGCCCTTTAAATGGCACAGACACAGGCAAGGAGGCTTGGAATTAGGATGAGATCGCGAGAGAAATGAAACTTGGAAGCTTCAGCCAGAGGACCTGTTCAGTTCCCCTGGGAAGGCTTTGGTGGTTTTAGGGTCCCCTGAGAGCTGAAGCACGCAGCCATGTTGGAGAGCAAAACGTAATAATAATTCTTCTTTAAAATCTGCTGAAGCAGCCCAATCCGGTGAAGTTCTTGGCATTGGCTACTCCATCTGTCCTAGCAGAGTGTGACTAAACTGGAAATGTATGGAGCTGCATTTTTTTTTTTTTTTTTTTGATGGAAGTCAACAGCTGCCCTACTATTTTACCATCTGACGTTTTTAGTAGTGAGCTGGGGAAACGACTGCCTGAGGAATGCGGTCGGAGGATTGTGTTGCTGTGGACATGGTTCCAACATTCACTCCTATCTCATTAGAAGAAATAGGTAGCAGCATCACTCACCAGTCTCTGCCATGACCTGCTGCTTTAACATCTCCTGGAATGTTCTGGGAGAGAACGTACGTTTGCTTGTGCACGCACGACTCTGCTCATTTTTGCTGTTGATTTAAATATGCTGTATACTCATCTGCCACCTGCAGCCCTGGCCAGAAGAAATACACAGGTTGCATCTCAAGGAAAAGACACAACAAAATGCTAGTGAAAATGTGTGTGTTTTGATAGCAATATATCATTTGTCATGTCATTTATTCTTCCTAAACCTATAAAAAGGCTACTTATCTTTAAAAAAGGCTACTTTATCTTCCTAAACCTATAAAGATAAGGCTACTTATCTTTAAAATCTGAAGGCCTTATACCTTTCTAAGAAATAATTTCATTTAAAAATTTTTAACATTACCAAGGTGAAATATGTATGCACTTAGGAGGTGCTAAAGTTTAAAAGCTGAAAGACAACAGAATTCTAAGAACTATGGTCAAAATGTTGCATGGATTGCAGTAATCAGTGTTTAAAGGATTCGGTTTCATTGCTGACGTAGTTTACAACCAAGTAAAATCTAGTCAGAGGCTAATGTTAATTCCCATGAAAGTTAAGCAAGATACTATTAATAACTGCTCTTCTTTTTCTTTTCTGTTCTTTTTTGTTTGTTTGTTTCCAACTTAAAATTTTTGTCAGATGTATTCAGGTAGAGCATAAAGCTTTGTTAAATCACTGCTTCTCAATTTTCTGCCTTTTGTGTTTTTTCAAAGTCCTTTTGTAACTTCATTTTGAATTTTAAAGGCCTAGACATTTTTATTTTAAATATTTGTCTTTTGCAGTCCTTTGTTATTCTGACATATTCTGAGTTTTTGCTGTTTTATAATTTATCCTTCATTATTCAAAAGCATGCTTACTTAGAGAAACTTCATGGTCTTTATAAAAGTAATTATTTAAAAAGAAATTGGGGAGGATAGTACATAAGTCTCTTTAAAACACTACAGTGTGGAAGGGGAGCGCTTCCTACATGTTGTCACGATTTGCATGGTTTAATCAGATTCTTTTTACTTTGTTAAGCTACCTTTTCACTGCAGAAGAGTCAGCTCACAGAATGCCACGTTAGCGCAGGTGTGGACTGCATGCTGTGTCAGCTGCAGGGCAGTAACCCAGTGGTGTTTTTACAAAAGTACAATATGTTGAGAATCCTGGGTGTGACCAATATGGAACAAAGAAGGCAGAAAGAGAGCAAATGAAAAATTACAACTTGTATATTTATTTTTTACATTTTGCTTCGACTTTTCAATTTAGAAAGTACATTTTTACCCAAGAACAAACGTGTAAGTTCCTGTGTCGGCCTCAGTGCTCTCACTGCGCCTTCCCAACCCCATAGCTCCTTATGCTGGGAAAGCTGATTTTTTTTTTTTAAAGAAAATAAAAATATTTAATCTTATAAGTGTTTATTTAAATGTGTAATAATGCTTTGGAAATAATGGGTAACAGATAACTAAAGGGTATGTTTATAAAGTGAGCATGTTGGTTCCATTTATAAATAAATGTATGATTTATAAGCTTTTTTAAAACAGCTCAAATTGTTGGTATTTTTCTAAAATGTGCACAGCTGTATTTTACATGAAGGCTCTTTCTAATGGGTTGTTATACTGTACTCTACATTTTGGACAGCATATGAAGTCTGCCAATGTACTTAATAAAACATGACTTTGTTTATTTAAAGTTTCTTGCTGTGAAAAAGAACTCCCTACCTGTGAGTTCCTTTATTTATAATCCTTGAAACCAAAATGTATAATGTACAGTTTTCACAACTGTATGCTCTAAAAAAAAAAGTTGGTTATTAATAAAGTCAGAGGTGTTTCCTTTGTGAGTAAATTACTGTCTTGAGGTATGTGGAAAATTTTTGGTGGTGGTGGTATTGAAAGATCTGAGGAAAAACTATCAATAGAAGTGTGGGGGGAGGGGGAGAATGCCCAAAGAAGCCACATGGCAGATGTTAGATGCACCACTCCACTATTTCTACATTTCTTTACCTGAGGCCTTTCAAACAGTTTTGAAAAATAGCATTCATTGCTTTGGCTAGTGCATTTTTTAATTGGATTAGTGTCTCATTGAGGTTTTTTTTTTTTTAAGATGCTCCTGTTTTAAAGGAGAACTCACAGTTGAAGTAAATCTCTCTCCTGTGTGGGTACTTTTCATTTAGTTTTTTGACCATTGTGCTGCAAATAAATGAATACATTGCTATAGCCCTATTGCTGCAGCACACTCCCAGATCCGGCACAGCAAGAAGTTGAGTCACCTTGCTGCCACCAGAACTGTCAGCCACAGTGCCCCTTTTAAGGCTATCCAAGGTGCCAGCTAGGCTGGCTTGACATGTGGGCAACTGCCTGTCAATAGGTGCGGTAAAGGTCCTTCACCAAAACAGCTTGCTTGATGAACCCTCAGGTTCATCACTCCCATAGACAGCTAAGGTACTGTAGAACCCCCAAATAAGTAACGCACACAGTTATCACCTCTAGGTTTTAGCTGATGTCAACTGAAACCATTCATCTCCTGGCCAGTCCTAAAAAGAAGAGCACTGAAACAGGCTTTTGAAGCAGGCGAGGAACACACAGAGTGTTAGATGGTTTATTGATTCCAGATTCATGTCCAAGCTACACATTTTCAGGGCTGCAGCCAGAGCAGGGATGAAATCTGGAAAATATTCCACACACCCTCTAAATGCAATAACTATATCTCCAGAGTCATGGTGAGCTGACTCCCCAGGCAGATAACTCAGTTCCATGTGCTGCTTTCCCCCCATGCTTCGGAAAGTTCTATAGCCTCTTTCAACTTAATAAGTTACTATAAGACATGGCATATCCCTGCCAGTAAGTATAACAGTTCATCGGACAGATGGATTATTCCAGGTTTGGGAATTACCTGTCTGACACTTTCCTCAAGCCAAGGGCACTGACAAGTGCTTCAGTATGCTGGAATTGCCTCTGTGGGGGTCTGATTTACAGAAGTCAGAGAAAATAGCAAATATACAGAACACAAAGGGTATTGATGAGATTCTGTCTGTGGGCATGGCTGATTGGTGGTGGTTCTGTAATTCATGGTCCCTGGTTTCCTCATCTACAAAATGGGCAGAATCATTGCACTGATCTCACAGGATGACACGGAGAATGAAATGGCCTATGTACAGTGTTCAGTATGCAGCACCTGACAGTAACTTCATTATATGTGTTAGTTTTGGTAATTGGAAGAACTGGGAAAACAAATCCCTACCAGTGTCTCAGACACAGTGAAACAGTGAGAGCCAACTAAGCAGAGCTTAGTGAATTTGTCTCACCAAAGATCAAAGGCCGTACCTGGAGTTCCTTTTCTAACACATGTGAGTTCCAGTATAGGAGAATCTTGAGACATTGGCCTCACAAAAAACTTCCACATTAGCACCTCACTAGATTCTTAACACCCTTATGAAAGCTGCTCTGTTAAATGACTTGCCCAACGTCACATAGCCAGAAAGTTGAAAATTTGTATTGGAGTACCAGATCTGATTAAATTTTGTGCTTTTTCATTTCATAATGTTGGCTGGCATTATTCCACATTGTCACCCATTTTACTACAATAAAAATAAGGCAAATACCATGAAATCCAAGGTAGCAGTGTGGGTGAAATGAACCCATTTATTTCCATATCTCTATCATGAGCCCTTTTTTTTTAAATTTTTATTTTATTCATATGTGCATACAATGTTTGGGTCATTTCTCCCCCCTTCCCCCACCACCTCCCTTACCTGCCCCCAACATCCTCCCTCTCCCCCCGACCCCCTCGATACCAGCAGTAACTATTTTGCCCTTATCTCTAGTTTTGTTGAAGAGAGAGTATAAGCAATAATAGGAAGGAACAAGGGTTTTTGCTAGTTGAGATAAGGACAGCTATACAGGGAGTTGACTCGCATTGATTTCCTGTGCATGTGTGTTACCTTCTAGGTTAATTCTTCTTGAACTAACCTTTTCTCTAGTTCCTGGTCCCCTTCTCCTATTGGCCAATCATGATCCCTTAATGCTACTCAGTTGGTACAGCTTTAGCGGAGTTGACTTAGAGCTTTGAATAGCAAGTATTTAGAATCCTAATGTTACATGTAAGGTGCTACATGTGACACATACGAACCTTATGAGTACTAATTATTACTTAAAGATTACCATGCGATATATTGGTATTTGGGAATAAAAGGTGTGTTATAAATGAACTTGGCACATGTTGTTTGAACTTGATCTCAGAATTAACAGAAAATGCACATTAGTGCCTAGAAGACCCAACAGTGTATAGACCATCTAGGTGGTATTCTTTTGACACACTGTATCTCAATATTCCACAAAAACTTCCTTGGGGTTCTTGTGACTACAAGTCTGATTTAGATAAACTATTAGTGGAATTGCATGAAAGTAAAGGCCTGTGTTATGTCCAGTTGGTGATTGATAAAGTTGTTCACCTACTTGGTACAGCACTTACCAGTCCTTGAGAAGCGTGGAGGGAGAAGAGAAATCAGCAGAGGAAGATTACAGTGGAGGCCCAGAGTTCAATCTCCAGGACCAACAGGAAAAAAAAGATTTCAGATCTGATGTGCAAGTCCTTCCTTTCACCTTCTCATCCCAGCAAACTCATTCATAAAATGTCAAGAACAATATTGAACACTGAGTGTAATTCGTGATGATATTTGCATTAGGAAAGGAAGTGGGGTGTTTTGTTTCAGACTGTATATATCACAACCTTGTCACTTATGGCACATATTAGGAAGAAAATCTGACAGGTATCACCACCCTGTGCAGTAGAAACAGAAGGGAAAGAGGACAGAGTCGTTCTCATATGCTAGGCATGTTTTGACAACAGCATCCAACCAGTAGAGCAACTACCTAAAGTTCAAATCGCTTCTAAAGTTGACAAAAGACCAAGAAAGTGCTCAAGCCTATAGAGCTACATTGTTGTCGAGACAGTAGAATCCATGACCTACGAGCTAGAAATGGCATTTTTAAAAGCACCTTTACCACCTGTAATCCCATCACTCATGAGACTGAGGCAGGAGGATAGAGAATTCAAGTCCAGACTGGGCTATATAACCAGACCCTATCTCAAAAATTACATAATTTTTAAAGATAAAAAGCAGCTTTATATCAGATCATTGGGCCAGATAAAGGTAGCAGATGTTAAAAATGTTCCAAACCATATGTTATTCAAAAGGATAAACAGTGACACTTAAGTGTGCTGTTCTTCACTGAAACCAAGCAAGAATTTGCAGAGTAATATCACACAAAACAATATTTCTGTGCTCAAAATAAAGTTTGATGTTATCTACATCCAATTTGTCATGATACATGTAATGCAAAGGATTCGGGGAAACTTCATTGCTCAGTGTCAACTTTGCTATTCTCAGGTATTTCCTTACTTGGGAATAGTTTTTCTTGCACTAGAATTTCTGTGCATAGAAACATCTCTCCACGCTTTCTAATAACCACGCTTTCTTTTCTTCACAAAATAGTATTACTATTCTAAAAAAAATCCTAGCAGACCATATTTTGAGATTTCCATCAGCTTGCTGAAACCAATAAAACTGTTAAGTCAATTCATCTATCTTTGTTTTGACATCCTAAAGATTACCTAAGTTATAAAGGAAGCACTCTGAACTTTTTTGCTACCCTGCCCAAGCTTTTAAGAATTTCAGCAGTACAGTGTTTAATGCCTTAACCCTCTTGCAAAACCTGGGCTCTGCATTGCAACTCCCTTCAGCACCTTATGCATCTCCCCAGAATGTTTCCATCCACAATTCACCTATGTGGCTTAACAAGCAGCCCAGAGTAGTTGTGGAGATTGGTCTGAAGGGTGAAGAAGCATAAAAATCCTGGATTCAGGCATGCTAACATTCACTTTCTCAGATGCCATGTTTATGTTCCCACCCTATGCATTCTTTCAAGTCTTCCCCGTGTTCACCGGGTTCCCCAGCACCAACAAACTCATGTCCATTTTGGAACACTAAGTGCTGTTTCAGTGTCTATAAAATGGGAGCCATAATTGCTTCCTCATAGTGTTTTTATAAAAATCAAAATAGATAATTTTAATAAACTCCCTGGCTACTTAAAAAGCTAGACATCGATCTACCATTTGATCCAGCAATACCACTCTTGGGGATATACCCAAAAGACTGTGACACAGGTTACTCCAGAGGCACCTGCACACCCATGTTTATTGCGGCACTATTCACAATAGCCAAGTGATGGAGACAGCCAAGATGCCCCACCACTGACGAATGGATCAAGAAAATGTGGTATCTATACACAATGGAATTTTATGCAGCCATGAAGAAGAACGAAATGTTATCATTTGCTGGTAAATGGATGGAACTGGAGAACATCATTCTGAGTGAGGTTAGCCTGGCCCAAAAGACCAAAAATCGTATGTTCTCCCTCATATGTGGACATTAGATCAAGGGCAAACACAACAATGGGATTGGACTTTGAGCACATGATAAAAGCGAGAGCACACAAGGGAGGGGTGAGGATAGGTAAGACACCTAAAAAACTAGCTAGCATTTGTTGCCCTTAACGCAGAGAAACTAAAGCAGATACCTTAAAAGCAACTGAGGCCAATAGGAAAAGGGGACCAGGAACTAGAGAAAAGGTTAGATCAAAAAGAATTAACCTAGAAGGTAACACCCACGCACAGGAAATCAATGTGAGTCAACTCCCTGTATAGCTATCCTTATCTCAACCAGCAAAAACCCTTGTTCCTTCCTGTTATTGCTTATACTCTCTCTTCAACAAAATTAGAAATAAGGGCAAAATAGTTTCTGCTGGGTATT